AACAATACTAATAATTTATATATAAGAATGAGACACATACAATGACCTTTTAGCACTTTCACATGCCATTTCACTTCATAAAATGTTATGCTATGCTGGGATATTCTAACCCATAGCAAGCAGGGTTGCAGCCAGAAGTAAATCATGTCTATTAGTTATAAAAAGTAGGCCTATGTGTACACAGCATTGGAGTTCTTACGATGACACTCAATATCGCACTTTATATAAATCAGTTCAGAATAAATTAACGAGCCAAGGTCTAGGGCCAACAGGGCCCTCAATATCTTCATCTTGCCCTTCTAGCGTCTTTCTCCCACTTGCAATGTACATGTCATGAAACTCATGATCCCTTTTTTATCAATAGATCTGTTGGGCACGCAGTCTCCCCCTAAAACAAATATCTTTGGTTTTAAGGTGCTTAGGCTGATAACATGGTTACAATTAGGATCGAATAAAGAGAATGGAAGTTTGCTTGTCTTTCTCCTATCTGCGATGTCATTCTTACATCATACCTTGGTTTTAAGGTTCTAAAATAAAATGATTACAATCCAACAAAGAGAATGGAAGTTTGCATGTCTTTCTCCTATCTGCGATGTCATTCTTACATCATACCTTGATTTTAAGGTTCTAAAATAAAATGGTTAAAAAATCGAACAAAGAGAATGGAAGTTTGCTTGTCTTTCTCCTATCTGCGATGTCATTCTTACATCATACCTCGGTTTTAAGGTACTTAGTCTGATTAAATGGTCAAAATTGAACAAAAGGCCTGTCCTCATCAGTCCGATTTGGCCAAATAGCCTGCTATTTCTGAATCAGGAAATTAGCCCGATCACGAAATAGCGGGCTATTTGGCAGGTGAAGACGCAAAAAGCAGGTAATTTGCTCGGGAAATCTTCCCAAGATATCTTGAGCTGGTTTGTAAAATAATGAAAGTTTTCCTGTCTTTCTCCTGTCTGTGATGTCATTCTTACATCATACCTCGGTTTTAAGATTTTTAGGAAAAAATGGTTACAATAAAAAAAAAGTGAATGGAAGTTTGCCCATTTAATTTCTCCTATCTGCGATATCATTCTAACATCAGACATGGTGGCTGACCAGTGCATTATCTATTTTGTTTTGATGGAAAATGCAGATTTTAACAAATGATGATGATAAATTGAGTAAGAGATAGTCAAAGTACAATTTTTCAAAAGGCTACAGCACTAGAGCCCTACAGGGGTTAACAATCTTTTATTTGATAAGTGTGTTAATATTCAACAAAGACCAGTCTCTTCTTACTGTGTATTTGATATTCTCATTATCAAAGATAAGATTCTATTGTGAGTAAGTTAATACCCAGCAACGTTTATCAGCTTAATACCTCATCCTGTTTGTCTTGCTATCTTGCCATTTGTTTCAAACTTGGAAATCTTCACATGGGACCTATCTTCGATTTGTATAATCTGTCTGTCTGTATTTGGCCTAGGCAGGCTTTGTTCATGTGGCTCCATTGCACTTTGAACAGGGAAGGTAGGGTCTACGTGTGGACGATAGGTGTTTGGGGGGGGGGGGGGGGCAAAAGAATACTCCAAAATGAAAAGAACTACCGGTAAGTAAATCTTACGAATTCAGATATTCATTGTAACCAGAAAGTACACAAGGCTAAATTCTATTGTAAAATTCAGGACGAGAACAGAGCATAAAACTACATAACAAGTTTAATTCTTAGAAGTGCTTGGGTTTCTCATTGTTAATTCATATAGAAACCTGTATTAATTTTTTTTTTTAACCACACCTCATAATCAACCCAATAAATATCTACATGTACAAGGTTACGATGTAGAGTATCTCCTTCCAAGATGTCACTGACTTGCATTCAATGCAACCTTGCAACGTATGATATTTTTCCTTCAGCCTCTAGACATACAGTTAGAATGTAATTATTATTATTCATACCATAACCAAGTTTTGTAATTTTGTAAGTATGTGCAAAATTGATATCGTCCGATTTACATTTCTTGAAAATGTGAGATATTAAAATAATTAAAGCTACATCGTAAGTTTTTTCACGATGAAAAAAAAATGCGGGGGCCTCGGGGCGAATTAGCCCCTGAAATGCCCAAAGAGCCCCCAAAATTTGCATAGAGTTCAATGCAAAAAAAAATTAAAGAGTGTTTTTTCATGCAAGCAAACTTGAAAAGTAGCTCCCCAATACATATTTTCCCCTGGTTATTCATCAAAGACCCTAATTCAACCAGTCCACATGTCATGCTTGAATAAAGAAAAACAGAAGAAAGAACCCATAGAAATTACAAGGGTATGAATGATTTAGTTGGTTAAATGTAGTTATATCTAATCTGCACCTCCCACATTTAAAAACAAAACGGTCAATTTTTTTTAATTTTTTTTTTTAAATGAGATGGTCTCTAAAATGTCCAAAATGCTTCATTCATATCAACTGGCGACAGTGCACCCCCTCCCCCCCCCCCCACCAAGTACCTTTCTACATGTATTCCTTTTCAAATAAAAATTGTGCCTCCCTCTTCCTTTTAATCTCTAATTATATGCATATTACTCTATCTCTCTCTCCCTCACTCTATCTCTATTATATCTGCCCCTCTTTCTTGAGCCTTTACTGTTCACACATTGCCCCTACCTATTTCACTTGTTTCTCCTATTTTCCATCTCATCCACTTTTGCCTTCTCCTTTTCTATCTCCCTCTCTAATAATAACCTTTGTCCTCACTCTTTCCCTCCAGCTTTCTTTCTTTCTCTCTCTCTCTCTCTCTCTCTCTCTCTCTCTCTCTCTCTCTCTCTCTCTCTCTCTCTCTCGCCTCTCTGCCCCCCCCCCCCCTCTCTGTCCTCTCTCTTCTCTGCGGCCCCAAGATGTCACATCGATCTAGATCTAACACTGCTTTTCGTTTCACATATTGATCACACATGTACACTGTATGGTCACTAGAAACACCCCCAACGCTGGTTTGAACTAGAACTCTAGCTAGGTGTTCAAAAAGATAACAATTTAAACACAAAACGGGGGAGAACAATCAATCCTTGTCCAGATCCCCCCCCCCCTCCCCTCCCTCCTCCACTAGGTGCAACAGATAGTGCATTGTCTATCTCACAGTAATGTTTTGGAACTGGAACTCTAGGTGTTCATTACAAAATTGAAGAAAAGAAAGGAAGATAACAATTCAAACACAAAACAAGGGGGAACAATCACTAGGCGACCACAAATTGTGCAATATCTTAAACTATCAAGTATGTTTTAGGGTCAAAGTCCCATCTATACAGGCGTACGTGTACATGTCTGTTGAGTAAATGGAGGACTCATAATAGTTAATACACATCAGTATGTTAATATTATTAACTAGTGCTGTAGTCAAAGGTTTAACCGTCCGGTATCCGACCGCCCATGGCGGATTCCGTTTTCAATTGGACGGTTTCGTTTTCCCGTTTTTTTTTTTTTTTTTTTTTTTAATAATTTTTTTTTTTTTTTTTTTTTTTTTTTTTTTTTAAGTTTCGATTTATGCCCCTCCACCTGGCACTATGCCTGGCAATGTCTCCCAGCTCAGTAATCGGTGTGATGACTTACCATTTGGAAACTAGAACAACACTCCAATTTGTCTGTCATCTTGGTTTGAAAGTAATCTTTGTAATAGATCTCAATATATATTCATCCAAGTTTAACACATGGTGTACCACAAGGTTCTATCCTAGGTCCTCTACTGTTTTTAATTTACTTTAATGATCTTACACATTATTCTAAAACGACATTGTTACTATTATTTGTGACTAGTTCACAAGCCCAAATCGGCGCCTTCAGTTAAATCACCTTCCTGATTTTTCACACGGCCAAAAAAAAAAAAAAAAAAAAAAAATTTTTTTTTTTTTTTTTTTTTTTTTTTTTTTTTTTAATAATCGTTTAACCGAAAACCGTCCGGTTTTGACAGGCGGTTAAACGGAATTGGAGATATCCGTGATGTTACAGCACTATTATTAACAAACGTGCTTTTTTTTTAGAAATGTACTGTAACAAACCAAAGATGATCTGAAAATTTACTGCATACAATACATGCATTAAACCAATGACAGACTTTTCTGTGAGAATTAGAGCATCTGTTTAAATGTATACCCCTATATGAATTAAGGGTCTTGAATTTCAAACAATTTACAGGGTTTTCGAAACGAGGACGTCCCCTTTTTTGGAGTGGTCGTCAAAGCGAAGGTACAGTTCTTATGAGAGGCCTCGCTACCCTCTCACACACACATGCACCCATGCTGGTACAGAGTACAAGCAGGCACACATGCTTGCGCAATTTGCTAATAACTCAAAGACAGCCATTTTGGCCAAGGGAGGGGTGGGGTCGGGTCAAAGGTGACTGATGACTACCGGTACATACGTTATTGAACGAAAACCACATTTTGGCATAGATAAATTGGTATTTCTGCACATTTAATGGGCTTTGACCTACATACTCTTAAATCATTCTCAGACTGCATTTTGATACCATGTACCTTCATATAAAACTTCATACAACTACAGTTATCGAACAGAAACCAAATTTTTACATAATTAGATCTAGTTCTTCTTCATATTTAACGAGCTATGACCTTTGATCTATATACTTTGTAATTAAAGGCCCACTGCACTACTTGTAGCTACTTGCGCCATCTATATAACAAACCATGCCTAATCGGTGACCATTGGTCCCCCATGATCCTCTTTTTCTTATGTTAACTGAGAGCTGAGTTGATGAGAGAACCACCTGTCCAGTGACCTTGCAGGGCAGTCTAATCCCTCCTGTAAACTATGGCAGATACGCTTTAAACAAATAGTTTCATTTTCTTCCTCCTCTTCCTACTTCTTCTTCTTCAACTGTTTAAAAAGTTATTTGAATGTGTAAAAGTAGTTCTCCCAAGCCAAATCTCTGCTAGCTGCTGTCCTACAGTTTATTGGACCCAAACTTCAAGTTTCCTTGCATATTTTGAATACTACCAACTTCAAGTAGGCTACTTACCGAAATACCAGAACCAGCTACACAGACAACCTCGGGAGACAGACTTTGGGCACTGAATGCCGTTCTCATGGCAACACACTTCTGTTCCTCGTGAGTGGAGGAAGTGCACCATCTCATCTGAGTTGCTGCAAAGAAGAAATAAAAGATAAATGAAAAGAATGGTAATTTACAAGTCATGTGTATTTTCAAACAAATACTAAAACAAATGTTACTAGATCTAGACCTACTAGCAAAGTAGCATATTATTAGACTAGCAAGGGAGATTGTGTTTATAAGTGTAAGGAAACCCTTTGTTTCAAGCAGGGCAGTAGTACATAAGACACACATAATTGCACAAATTCTTTCACCCTCTGTCAGTTTCTTTTAGTAGTTTTATGTATAGACCTCTAGACTCTAAACTTCCATTTAGGTTCATATTATGTTTGTACATGTATATATCTCCGGATATAATGCCCTATCTGTCATGTTAATGTTATCATAACTTTTCACATTATGTCATCTCGGAAATAGATCTATCGAAATATGGAAGAAAGAATCTTTAAAAAATAAAAGGAGTCTATTCAAATGATGGAGGTGCAACTATAATAGTGAAGTCATGAAGTGTCGTGTCTAGTCTACTTACTTGCTGCTAAAGCAGTTGAAACTATTGTCAGGAGACAAAAGACGATGGTCTTCATGTTGATCGTGTTCAGTTCAGCAAGGACCAAGATTCAGAGACGTTCTTACTTCTTCAATTGAAGTTCAAGCAGCACTCAATGCCAATGATACCAGAGCAGAAAAATGGAATGAGATTGTGTGGTCGAGTATATCTAAGGTGTGGCGAGCACATGCCCGAAATCCATGTGGTTTTATAGCGCGGCTAGCTAGCTCCGTTCGTTCACGTTCGTGGAGCGTGGTGCGTGCACGGCCTTTGTTTTCTTTTCTTTTGAATGTTTGTGGAGCAGGCATTGTGTGGGCGTGGTTGAGAGACTGGCTGGCCAGCAAATTCATACCTGGATCAAGCGCCCAGGGCAGCATTTTACGACATCCTACCTGCTAAGTGCTACGCGTTCGAAGTTGTGTGAAAATAGAATGGAGGGGAAAAAAAGGGGCGAGGGGAGAGATCAAGGAAAGGATAAAGACATAGAACGTGAGATAATTAATATAAGGATACATATTGCTCGAAAAGGATTAACCTATTATGTGAATCAGTAAAGTGGGGACGAAATCATTATAGTTTTGAATAAAATCTGTTGGAAGAGCTAGCTAGGTTATCTGAAAATGCTTTGGATCAGATCTGCTTACAGCAGGCGCGTACGCAGGGGGGGGGGGGGTGTTTGGGGGGTTAAACACCCCCCCTTTGGTATTTTTACATGTGTAAACCCCCCTAAAAAAAACCTAAACCCCCCCCCCCCCCCCCTTTGGATTTTTTTTTTTTTTTTTTTTTTATTAAAAAAAAAAAAAAAAAAAAATTACCTCCATGGCTGACCTAAGAAAGGTGACCTTACCCCCCCCCCCCCCCAACGGAGCAAAATGTCAAATTTTCAAATTTTGAGACCAAAAAAAAAAAAAAAGTGTCCTCTTACCCCCCCCCCCCCCCCCCCCCCCCCCCCCCCCCCCCACTGAGCGACTTTTTGGCCGGCGCAATTTTCAAATTTTCCTGAGTCGTTGCGAAATTTTGGAACCGATTTTAAAACCCCCCCCCCCCCCCCCCCTTGAAAAATTCTGCGTACGCCACTGGCTTACAGGCTACAGCACAGAAGAAAAAGAAATATAGGAGTTAAACATACGGGGAAATTAGAAAGAAGAGAATGTGTGTCCTTTTTTTCCTTAGAATAAAAAATTTCCCCAGAGGAGTAGAAACTTCTTCTTTTTAAAAAGCTTTTTTGCCTTTATTCAGATCTTCATAATTATACAAAATGATGAATAGGAACACAATTGTTTGAGTATAAACATACATGTAGTACATTGTCTCATACATTATAAACACAGACATATTTAAAAAATATTTTCCATTTGTATCCAAACTAATAAAATACACATTCAAAACTAGTGTACAGAATGTGCTCCAATTCCTTTAAAAGGAAAAGGTGACGGTAATACTTGGATACAACATTATACAAAGGAACAATTTTTACAACATAATAAGCAAATTAATTAGTTCAATATAAATTAAGCAATCTGAACAAAGATTTTCATATATAAACAAAAAGTATAAGGTGAAGGTGCTGCTTCATAATCCATGATAACAAAATTTGTTATATTTACATATAATGATATGGTGCATTTTTCATTATAACTATATAAGGGTCTTGTATCAGTGGCGGTCTTTAACCATACCGTTATTTAAAAAAAATAAAAATATATAATATATAAAAAACAAGCAAACACGATAGCAGATAAGTGTCCGGATCGATGAGAAAGTGAGGGAGTGAACAGGAAACAGGAATTACAATATATATACAATCTGTTCCCCTGCCTTAAGGGGTAAAATGTTCCCATTTTTGATAATGTATTGGCAGTTTGTCCTTTAATTTTGCTTTTTCATGTTCAACTTTTGTTGAGTTCTCTACAGCCTTACATATTTCTTTACTAGTTGGGAACAGGGGGGGGGGTGGACAGCGCCCCCCCCCCCACTTGTTCAAGTACCCCCAATGTGCCCCTACTTTTTCAAAGGAAAAGTACCGCTTTAACTTTGTAAGAAGTGTCCCTTTTTACATAGAAAAAGTGCCCCTTCCCCCTTTTACCTCAGATGAGTGACCCTTATATTTTGACACGTTCCCTAGACAAGTTCCCATTTTCCTTTGCAATAAGTGTCCATTTTCAATTCTCATGAATGCCCTTTTTAGTCTCTAGTACTAGTGCCCCTTCCCTATTAATAACTTCCTCTTTTTAACTCGGATAAGCGCAACTTTTATTTTCACACTCCCTTCGTCTTTCAAATAATTACCCCTTTTCTCTATGGTAAGTGCCCCCGTTTTAAAAAAGAGACCCTTCATTTCTCATAAGTGTCCCTTTACATCTCTGGTAAATGACCCTTTCATTTCAGCTGAGTGCACACTTCACCTCCGATAATTGCCCCTATTCAAATCTGATACACTGTCGCTCACACAACCGGGAGGTCGTGGGTTCGAACCACGGCCGCGTCATACCAAAAGACGTTAAAAGATGGGAGTTGTTGCTACCTTGTTTGGCGTTCAACAATAAGGGATAGAGCAACGTCGATCTGGCGCTGCTCAGTGGCTGCCGGGCTCACGATCAATTGGGCAAAAAGAATTTCCGTTTCGGTTTAATTAAATTTGGAGTGGACTATTAGGCTATTATTATTATTATTATTATTATTATTATTATTATTATTATAGGTGGAAAACACAGAAAATGCAATCATTTTTCAATAATTTATTGCATTTTACCCCGGTTCCCAACATAAAAAAATCCTCTGTGTGCCCATGCCTTGAGCCATAATGCATGGCCATCCAGAGGATTTGTTTATGTTGGGGACCGGGGTAAAAATTATTGAACATTTATTGCATTTTCTGTTTTTTTAAATTTATTTATGGAAACTGTCCCCTACCCTAGCCCCCGCTGCGTACAGTCATGGTTCAGTGACAAAGCAATGGCCTAGTAACTGTGAGGTCTCAGGATCATAACCGTGTCGATGTGCTATATAAGTGCCCTTTTGTGGGGCATTAATCCTCATTAATGTCATTTATGACTTAAGGGCGTAGGTCCCCTATTTGATAAGCATAGAAGCATACACATGCTTTAGCAGTCACGCAAAACATACGTTGTCAAAACATGAGAATGTATACTATTTTCTAGATCTATTATTTTTAGATTATTTTTAAAATAATTTCATAAATTGGGGTAAAACAAAAATATTACACCTATATGAGCGACAGTGTATATAGATTTTCATTCACTTTGACAAGTGCCCCTTGCCCCCTGATAAGTGCTCTTATTATCTCTGATGAGTTCCCCTTTTCACCTCTAATAACTGCCCCCTTTATTTTGACATGTGCCCCTTTCAATTCTAATAAATGCCCATTCCCCTTCTCATAATATCCCATTTTCATCTGGTCTGATAAGTCTCCGTTTATTTTAACATGTGTCTCTTGTGAATAAGAGCCGCATTCCCTGTCTCACAAAAGCCCTCCTTTCACCTCTGATAAATGCTTCTATTCTTTCAAAAATTCACATTTTCCTTTAATATAAGTGCTCATTTTTTAATTCTCGTAAGCGCCCCTTTTCATATCTGGTCAGTGCCCCTTTTCAAGTGCGAGAAGTGTCCCTTTTCACCTCTCATAAATTCCCTTTTAACAATGATATGTGTCCCTTTCCTTTCTAATAAGGGACCTATCCCCTTTTGATATATTCTCCTGTTCACCTCTTATAAACGTCATTATCATAATCTCATGGGTCCGTCGACAAATGCCCATTTCCCATGCTCAGCATAAGCGTCTTTTTCATGCCTGGTGAGTGCCTCTTTTCAGGTTCAAGAAAAGCCCCATTATCACCTCTGATAATTACCCTTTGTACTTCGACACGTGCTCCTTTTTTTTATTTTTTTATAAGTTTGATAAGTCTTTTGATAAGTCTCCCCTTTTCCTCACATCGTTTAACTTGCCCCTACTTTAAAGCATCTAAGAGCAATCAAAGGTTTTTAATTCAGTCTTTCGTTATGAGAATGTGATTGGGTTTTTCTTCTTTATAAGATGCAAATTTCCGCACTGCGGCGTCGCAAATCTTAATTCTTTTCCTCGCTCGCAAATGAATATTCAGACCATCACACCCAACTGCTATCTTGTATGATGTATGAAGAGAAACAAATATTGAAATCATCCCTGATAATGTAATCACAATGTAAGGGTATACCAATGTCTAAAGAATTGTATATCTTCGCTTTGAGGTTTACCTTTGTAGTTGCCCTACTTTTTTGTTTTGATGCCCGCCCTCCCCCCCCCCCCAGTTTGAAAGTCGCTCCCCCTCCCCTGGGTAGATCGCCTCCTGGCCTGATCATCCGCCCCCTCAAATCATTTGACAATAATATAATACTGTAACAGCATGTTTAAACCGGGATGCCGCGCGAGAGATGAGGAAATAGCATTTTAGATAGAGTATAAATGTCTCTTTCCTCACTCGCTTAACTTTGTAACGGGATAGTTTCAGGCAGCGAGGTGCATGATTATCCCTTTTATTTATTGTTCCACTTAAATATCCACAAATTAAAATGACGTATACTAACCATACAGTAATACAATATATAATAGAACAAATGAATTATACAAGTAATGAAATACTGATCAGTATCGTAATCAAATAAGTTTATAGAGGACATTTCAGTTTGAGAATAAGACAAAATATTTTATATTGCTTGATTTAACCATGGACCTAATTACGAGTAGTAGGTCCATGATTTAACTGCAAAGGGAAAAAGGGAGTCTTAAAAGAACTAGGCTTGTTGAGCGAGATTCCAAGTATACTACTAGACCATCATCAGCGTGCATCAAATTGTATTTATTCCTCGCTTGCTTCACTCGTTCGCAATATTTAGAAACAGGATGATTTAAGGAAGTGAAGCGACGGAATATACCTCCATATCTGGGAACTGGGAAACGGGGTGCCCGAATATCGTCATATTCGGGCAGAATGGTGCCTGAATAAACATTATTTATTTATCTTGAAAATCACATTTTTACCACTCTCATTCACTCGCTCGTAACATTTAGAAACGAGAGAATTCTGGGCAACGAGATGCACGAATATCCCCATTATTGTGTATTGAGGTAACCGAATGTATATGTTGTATTCATGCATTCATCAGCGAGGTGCCCGCATAACATCTTAGCAAGTGTAGAAACGCAAAATAACATTTTTACCATAATAAAAGTGCCATTCTATTTTTGACGAGTGCCAGAGTGATG